GGGGCGCAACGGGGCGGGCGGGCGCGACGGGGCCGGACGGGTGCGACGGGGCCGGGCGGCTGCGACGGGGCCGGGCAGGGTGCGACGGGGCCGGCGAGGGCGACAGGGCCGGGCGGGCGCGACGGGCCGGGCGGGTGCGACGGGGCCGGTCGGGTGCGACGGGGCCGGGCCGGTGCGACGGGGCCGGGCGGGTGCGACGGGGCCTGCAGGCGTGAAGGGGGGCCCAGGAGGGGTGTTACGGGGCCCAGGAGGGGCACTACGGGGCCCAGGAGGGGCCCAGGAGGGGCGCGACGGGGCCTAGGAGGGGCACTACGGGGGCCCCAGGAGGGGCGCTACGGGGCCCAGGAGGGGCGCTACGGGGCCCAAGAGAGGCGCTACGGGGCCCAGGAGGGGCACTACGAGGCCCAGGAGGGGCCCAGGAGGGGGCGCGACGGGGTCCAGGAGGGGCACTACGGGGCCCAGGAGGGGCCCAGGAGGGGCGCGACGGGGCCCAGGAGGGGCGCTACGGGGCCCAGGAGGGGCACGACGGGGCGAGGGGCGCAGCAAGGCCCGGGAGGGTCGCAACGGGGCGAGGAGGTCGCGACGGGGCTAGGGGGTTGCGATGGGGCTAAGGGGTCGCGACGGGGCCCAGGGGGTCGCGACTGGGATTAGGGGTCGCGACGGGGCTAGGGGGGAGGCACGGCGGGGCCTAGCTAGGGGACGAGCGGAAGCGGTAGGTGGGGGGATCCTAACCTACGCTCTGATACCATATCAGACTGAGAGAAGTGAATGATTGGGTAGAGGTAGAGTACAGATAGATATACCTAAGTATTGTACCCTCTAAGAGGTGACCCTATACAGTCTATGCAAACATAACAAATACACATGTTTGGCACTGGTGACTTAATGATAATTATATACAAGGGGATACGGTACTTGTGGTAGGGATATATGAACAATAGCATGCTAGGGTTGAGCTTATTTTGGGTTTAACACTTTGATATAGGTCTCTGTTTTGCCTTGCCTTCTCAACTCATTCCCTTCTCACGACACTGAGGATGAGCAACGCAGTGAAACACCGTACAACTATTATTCTCTATCCACCTGCAACTGCTCCACTAATTGCTTTATTTTTGCAACATTTCTCTCCATGTCTTCTAATGAGTCACTCTGCATGGCGTGCACTATGGATTCCTTGTAGCTGTCGCGCGCCTCCTCCAGCAGCACTTGCATGATCTCGCACTCCATGTTGCTCTGCAGCTTCTTGCCCGAGTACCCCCTGCCGGGTCAATTGGGTCAAGCACACGCAGAAGATGGGGGGGGGGGGGGGGATGGAAGGAGAGGCGCACTGGAATTGAGGATGCGCACTCATGGATTCATGGGCTGCATCCATGCATGTCCAGGTCCGCACTTGTCGCAACAGCAAGTCCACGAGGGGCGCCATGGGAGCAAGTCACGAGTGACGGGGGAAGGCAATGAGCAAAACAAACATCGAGTACGGAGGGAGGGGGAAAGATAGAGACAGGGGGCAGCCGGCCGTACAGCACGGAGTTGGTTACCTGGCGTGCAGCCGGTCGTACAGCACGGAGTTGTCGGTCTGCAGCACGACCACGAGGTCAAACCAGCGCTCGGGGAAGAAGTCGCACGAGTGGTGGTCCACCACCATGCCGCCGGCGCCCATGCTCTCCTCCAGCTCGTCCAGCAGCTGCACGGGGGAGAGGAGGTCAGAGGGGTGAGGAGGTCAGAGGGGTGAGGAGGTCAGAGGGGTGAGGAGGTCAGAGGGGTGAGGAGCGCGCAGCGACTGCGAGGGCAACAGATGGGGCGCCATCGCACCCATGGCGCTCCAGCACCACCCGCCCTCTGCCAGTAGCTCTGCCACGAGCTCTGCCGAACCGAGTCGCCGGAAGGCATAGGGCCCAATGGCGCAGCACAGAGAAGGCGGCAGCACAGAGAAGGCGGCAGCACAAGAGAAGGCGGCAGCACAGAGAAGGCGGCAGCACAGAGAAGGCGGCCAGCACAGAGAAGGCGGCCAGCACAGAGAAGGCGGCAGGACGGCGGCAGCACAGAGAAGCGGCAGCACAGAGAAGGCGGCAGCACAGAGAAGGCGGCAGCACAGAGAGGCGGCAGCACAGAGAAGGCGCAGCACAGAGAAGGCGGCAGCACAGAGAAGGCGGCAGCACAGAGAAGGCGGCAGCACAGAGAAGGCGGCAGCACAGAGAAGGCGGCAGCACAGAGAAGGCGGCAGCACAGAGAAGGCGGCAGCACAGAGAAGGCGGCAGCACAGAGAAGGCGGCAGCACAGAGAAGGCGGCAGCACATGGGACAGAGAGGGGAAGCGCCCGGGCTGCACCACCCCCAGCTCATCCTCCCGGGGGACCAGGGCGGGGGTTGAGGGGAGCAGGGAGTAGGGATGAGGGGAGCAGGGGGTGAGGATGAGGGGAGCAGGGAGTAGGGATGAGGGGGGCAGGGGGTGGGGATGAGGGGCCTCTGTCCGTCGCTGCTGTGCCACGGTCGACCATCCGTCGCTGCTGTGCCACGGTCGACCGTCCGTCGCTGCTGTGCCACGGTCGACCGTCCGTCGCTGCTGTGCCACGGTCGACCGTCCGTCGCTGCTGTGCCACGGTCGACCGTCCGTCGCTGCTGTGCCACGGTCGACCGTCCGTCGCTGCTGTGCCACGGTCGACCGTCCGTCGCTGCTGTGCCACGGTCGACCGTCCGTCGCTGCTGTGCCACGGTCGACCGTCCGTCGCTGCTGTGCCACGGTCGACCGTCCACTCCACGCCGCACACGAGAACCCAAGCCCCCATGGATCAGCCTCAACCACATCCCCAGATGGCCACGCAATTCTCGCCCGGAATCTCCTGGCCCTGATTGCAGCGCGACAGATCCTGCCATCGCTCCATCTATCCTGCGCCTCGCACAAACCCCAAACCCCGACCCTCGGCCATCTGCATCCCCGGCCTACCTTCCCCTCGTCGCCACCTTCCCCTCGTCGCTACCTTGTCCTCGTCGAGCACGAAGCAGTCGTACACGTCGTCCCACCCCTCGTGCAGCTCTTTCTGTCGCACGACGTCGCCCACGTTTACGTGTCGCAGGCCCGTCGCCTCTGCTACCAGCTGACTCGTCGACGTCTTCCCCGTGCCGGGAGTACCCGTTATGAGCACATTCGGCCGACGACCATCGCGTGCTCCGGTATTAGCAGGGACGGTGGAGCCCATAGGGAGGCCCATATACCGGAGGCAGGCTCGACTGCGATGAGGCGCGCGATGTCAGCGCAGATCGATATTCGCAGAGCGGGTCGGAGGAGCAGGGAGCGGAGGGCGAGGAGCGAGAGGAGAGGAGCGAGAGGAGAGGAGCGAGAGGAGAGGAGCGAGAGGGGAGGAGAGGAGAGGGGGGTGGCGACGAGGAGGCGCAGCGGGAGGCGGACGTGGGCGGGGAAGGTCAGCGCGAAGGAGTCGCGAGGAACGAGGAGGCGAGCACCATCCGCGAGACGAGTCAAGTGAATCACAGTGCTGAGAAGCAGGGACCTGCACAAGCAGACGGACAACAATGGGTGCTTGGTCGAGCTCAAGCACAAACGGCAATTGCGTTTGTAACAGGTTCTTTATATTCTACCTACTTTCAAAACGAAGTCATCATTGTTATATTTGGTGAGGAATACTCAGCAAAGTTACCATTTATGCATTCCTGATATAATATTTAGACTGTACTAGTAGCACGATACCTCATATGGAAGGACGCGCATGATGACGTCAGCAGTAGCGAGTCAACCAGGGTCCTCCCTAGGTTTTTTCCACTTTCTGATGATCAGACGGGCTCTTTTCCTGATTTCCCTGACGAAATGAATACCGATTTCTGGAAATTCAGATGAAACCTTGTATAATTTCTGATCGTCGAAGTCCAGTTTAGCTGCAGTAAAGTCACGTGCGACAGGGGGAAACAAAATTTTCCGAGTTCAATTTCTGAATGCCTCGAGGGTCATTGGGCGGATGGGGCGCATTAGAACGAAATGTTTGGACTCAAATTTTGATTGGCGAGAAAAACACGAAGTTGTTCGTGCTGGGCGAAATCAGGACACGGGCGGGCTGAGGTTGGGGAAGAATCGAGAGATTTCAGGGGCGGGGGGAATCGAGCTGGGGGTGGTGGGGAGATTCCACATAGCAGGGGCGGGGAAAGGGAATCCTGCCCTTTGAAAGATCCGTGCTAGTACAAGTTGTGGGGGAGTGGGGGTGGGGTGGGTGTGGTGGGGGGAAGGGGGGGGGGGGGTTTGTGGTTATGAGGACGCCCTCGCACAGTCAGCTACACATCCCTTGATTTGATTTGCCCTACATGAACAGCCAATCAGCTCAATCACTCGCCCTCCAGCTCACAGCACACATGGCACCGGAATTTGGTGAAGGCCCAATCAGCCCAGTCACTTGCCCTCCAGTGCACATGGCGCGGTAATTTGGTCAAGGGCCAATCAGGCCCCTCACACAACCTAGAACACGAAGCAAGCAGGAATTTTGGTGAAGGGTGAATTAGCCCCTCATACAGCCTAGAGGGGGGCTGTATACAGCAACCGGTCTCAGACGAGCAGAATCGCTAAATTGTGAAAGTTGCTTAGTCCATCTTGCAAAGGCAGCGTGCTTCATTTCAGATGGGGCAGCGTGCTTCATTTCAGATGGGTGGTTACATAGTTCTCGTCACTAAGCGCACATACATTTGAGGGAGGGTGGGGGGGAACTCAAACTAGAAACTGAAAATGAGGAACGTGGGTGAGGCCAACTGGCCTCACGTCCCTCTTTTGTAGGCAAAAAGAGGGTGAGTAGCGGCGCGCCGCTACCTTTGTTGTGTTGGCCACGTTTCCACTTTTACAATACACAATTTTAGCAAGCGTGTAACACTTTCAAAAATTATCATATTGTGAAAGTTGCTTAGTCCATCTTGCAAAGGCAGCGTGCTTCATTTCAGATAGGCATTATGAGGCATGTGCATCGGGGGTCGCCGGTGTTGCTCGATCGATTGCTGATGTCGGGCAGGTGAAGGGGCCGTGGAGGTGTCTTGTAGTTGGTTGGAGACTGCAACGAGCTGGTCCTGAGCAATGGTGACATATAGCTCCTTTGCGCTATCGCTTTTCCAGCGGCCAAGACGTTTGAAGAGACGGTCGGGGACCCCCAGGCCGGCTGCGGCCGTGGCTGCGCCCTTGCGGAAAGAGTGAGTGCCGAGATGGGAGGCATCGAGGCCAGCCTTCTCGAAAGCTTCAAGGCACCAGTTGCGAATGGTGGGGTACGATGGGGAGTTGTCTTGCGGGGTCGCGCGTGCTCCTTTGCCGAATACTCGGATGAGCGGCCCGTGCGGCATGCGCGTAAGGCCGGCGAGCTGAATGAAGTGGCGGGTGCATCGAATTGGACAGCAGGGCCCCTGTGTCGCGGCCACTGGAATCCATGAGCCTTTGCCTTCCTGGTCCGTCTTGGAGTGTGGGATGAGAAGCCACATTACCTCCTCCTCAAACTGTATGTCATTCCATTGAAGCGCGACTAGATCGGAGTAGCGCAGGAACGCCGCAAACATGAGAAGAGGGATCAGACCCTTTTGGTATTCCGCCGGGATTGTGGATTCGAGGAAGGGCCGGGCCATGCTGTGAACTTGGAGCAGCGAGAGGGGCTCTTTGTGTCTAGTAGGGCGCGGTCCGTGACGTTTGGCGTACTCTCGAACTTGCAGCGTGAAGGGGCCGCTCGTCGGGGAGGGTTCCCCTGTCATGCGGTGTGCGAAGGCTACAGCGGGGCAGGTGAGGGAAACGGCTGACACGGTAGCGTTATTGTTGAGCGCATGTATGAGGTACATCGCGAGGGTTAGGTCGGTTACGGGTAAGAAGCTCAGCTTGTTCATGATACAAAAGGATCGAAATTTCAACCGGTAAGGCTCATACGTTTGGACTATGGATGGGGCGCGGACTTGGGTGATGACTTGCAATAGTTGTTTTTGCAGCTTGGGCAATATTCCTGAGATTAAATGTACAGAAATTGGGAATTATCTATTATAGTCAAGACTCAAAGCAATCATGGGGCTGTTAGGGAATCCTAAACCCGAAAATGCTGTTGCATGCGTGCCAGGATGCAGACATTGGCTTCCGTAGGTAAGAGGGAGATAGGCTACAACTCCCGACACCCAAACGTTGGGTGAAGGTTGGAGGAGTGGCCACCAGGATGCACTAGACCAATGGGGGACAACCAAAGTCAACTTGGCTTTGGTCCGTTGTGCGTGGCGAAGGATCGCCGGGACTAGGTTGGGTGGTGGAAAGGCGAAGCCGCGCTCGCCGTGCCAACAGACTGAGAACGCATCCGTGGCGGTTGCACCCGGGTGTGGAATCTTGGAACAGTATCGCGGTAGTTGTGCGTTATATGTGTTCGCGAAGAGATCAATAGAGTGGGGGGCCCACCTCCGCTCGAGAAGGCGAAACCAGGGGGCTTTGAGTGTGTAGTCGTCATGGTCCTGTATCTTGGAGAGTTCATCGGCGTGAGCATTCAACTCGCGTGGGATCCATTCAATATCGAGGCGTATGAGATTCTCCAAACAAAGACTGATGATTTCCTGGCATAGGAGCGTAAGGGTGGGTTGGCGAGAGCCCCTTTTGCGTAGGATGAATGCGACACCCTGGTTGTCGACCCGCACGAGGACATGCCTTCGAGCGATCCGAGAGGCGAATGTGCGTAATGCCCATATGATGCCTTCGAGCTCCCTCCTGGTACTGGAGGTTGGAAGAAGCCCATCTGGCATCCGGGCGCTGGCTTCGGCTGCAGATCCTGGGAAGGTGGTGAGGGTGGCACCCCAACTGTGTGCGCTGGCGTCGACGTGGATGACGACATCGAACTGATGACTTGAGTGGAATGCCGCCCCGTTGAATCGATCGAATTGTGTGCGCCAAAACAATAACTCTTCAACTGCTGCCGGCGACAGCAACGTCCTGGAGCTCCAAGATGTGGCGTGGGCGATGATTTGTAGTAGCTCTTGGCTGAAGGCGCGTGCTGTTGCACCTAACGCCAGTGCCATCGATGCTAGCATACCGGTAACGCGGGCGATCTGCCGCACCGGAATGTGATGTCCCGCTTGTCCTTTTACGATGAGGGTCTGGAGGGTGCTCAGGAGTTGCTCCCGTCGTTCCGAGCCGATCGAAAACATGCCCCGGGCTGTGTCCAACTGAAGACCGAGGAAGCGTAATTGTTGGGATGGGTGAAGATGTGACTTCTTCGCATTTATGACGAAGATTGCTGCCTTGAGGTCCTGTAAAACCTTGGTACATATGGACCGTGCCTGCTGAGCTGAGTCGCATAGGAAGAGCAAGTCGTCGACATACGGAACGACCCGCACGCTTCGCGCACGCCATCGCTTTGCGAGCTGTTTGATGAGTTGAGTAAAGACAAACGGGGTGGTTGCAAGGCCGAATGGTAGAGACCGAAAGTAGTAGTACTCATTTTCGAATTGAAATCCTAAGAACCTCCAGCAAGATGGATGAATCTCGACATGATGGTACCCGGACTTGAGGTCGATCGAGAAAAGCCAATCATTGGGCTGAATGATCTCAGCAACACGGCTCAAACCCTTGTACTTGAACTTGGGGACAACGAGATGCGTGTTGGCCTTGCGTAGGTCGAGAATGAGACGGCACTTGTCTCGCTGCTCCACAACATTCAGCGGGCTAACGCACGTCAACATTGCTTTGGAGGGGGCCTTGACAGCAGATCCAGAAGCCACGAGTTCACTGATGGCACTGCGGGTAAAGTCCATGTGTGCCCGTGTGCCCGCGTGATTGGTATCGGCGAATGGGGCTGGTGCAGCGCGTGCCCAAGGCAACCAATATCCCTTTGCGATGATTGAGAGAATGAAGCTACTATCACACCAAGAACACCACCAGTGTAGTGCATGTCGTAATCGGCTCCGCATGATTGTCACTTGTCGATCTGTGATTGCGTATTCGTATGGATCCCATTCTGCGAGTTGCCATGCGCCGCCGTTAACTGCAGTATGTGTGTAACAAGCAAGGAGAGGTGGGTGTGAGGTCGGCTTAAGGTTTTGAGACACTTGAAGATCTGCAAGGCGAAATGTGCCCGACTCTCGGGAATTGTTGTTTCTCCTAGCGAGCATAATGCCGGTGATGGCAAAGTGGTTGCGGTATGTGCGTGCGCGGACTCGTGCCCATTGAGCCAATATACTCCTTGGGTTTCACACCCACCCATAATTCCATTCCCTCGTTCGCTCTCTTCTCTCTCCCACTCTCTCTCCCTCTCTCTCTCTCTCTTTCTCTCTCTCTCTCTCTCTCTCTCTCTCTCCCTCTCTCTCTCTCTCTTTCTCTCTCTCTCTCTCTCTTTCTCTCTCTCTCTCTCTCTCTCTCTCTCTCTCTCTCTCTCTCTCTCTCTCTCTCTCTCTCTCTCTCTCTCTCTCTTTCTCTCTCTTGACTCACTCTGTCTCTCTCTGCCTCTCTCTCTTTCTCTTCTCTTTCTCGTTCTCTCTCTCTCTCTCTCTCTCTCTCTCTCTCTC